ATATATACACATACATATATGTATGTATGCCCTGTATACACATACTTGCTACGATATCTGAATTCAAGTTCCTTAAGAGCAACCCACCCTATACCCTACATGTATATACCCTACTGTTATATATACATCCTATAAACCCTAAACTCTAAACCCTAAACCCCCATTTTGGCGCTCTGTGCCTGTGTTAATCTGACCTCTGCTGTTCACTGCTGGTGAGGAGGGGAGTTTTTTGCATGTCTTTTTCGGCTGACGCTTGGACGTCGTTCGTCGTGCAGAAATAAAAGAGCCGCAACAAAAAACGCTTAAACCCGAAACCCTAAATCCTTAAGAGCAACCCAGGAATACGGCGCGGAGTGCTGCGGCTGGAGAACCTTTGGCCTCCACGCAGTGGCTATGACGGTAGCCTTCGGGATGCCTCTGGGTTGGATATACTTAGAAGTTTAGGGTTTAGGGTTTAGGGGTGTAGGGTTTAGGTTTTAGGGTTTAGGGTATAGCTGGTGGTTAGTAGGGAATTAGGAATATACTTCCTATATAATCGTGGTATAATACACTCCACTATGCCCTACTAACCCCCAGTAAGCCCCCCCAAAGCCCCCCCAAAGCCCCCCCCAAGGCTGTTTAGCTGCACGGTCTGGTCCGCTCAAAAGCTTTCTAGTTGGGATTTCGAGGCTGAGGGTGTAGGATGAACGGTTTAGGGTTTAGGATTTTAGGATTTAGGTTTATGGTTACACTCACACGAGGATATCTTGGCGTTGCAGGATTATTTGGGTCCCTAATTCCTGAGTATAGATACTTCTCGAAATGGAGACCACTCGTATACCAGCCAAAAACATGATATGATCTTCAGTACTGAAGCTCCCCGACAAGAGGATACCTGAAATACTTGAGATCCCGAAAGAAAAGCCTACATTTTAAACCCGAAAGTTTGGGTTTGTGTGCGTGAAGTCTGGGCTTTGGTAAAAACACCGGTTTCTCTGCTTGCAGAATTTCAGGCTTCCCTTTGGAAGCAAGGAAGACTGAAGCACCACAAGTAGACCCCAAATGCCTTAAACCTGCTATCGAACTTTGAGCTCCAGATATCCTTGAGCTGGCGATAGTTGGAAAACCATGTTACAGACTCAGCTGGTTAAAATGCACAGTTTGACACGTGATTGTTGAATGTCGGCTGGTAGGGAAGTCCTTTCAGTCTGCATAGTGGGACTGCCCTACTTAGAACAACACCTTCAACGTACCAAAATGCTGCACTTCACCCCAATTCGAAACCCAAGGCTTTAAGCCCTAAAACTACAGGGGTATCCTATGGACCGCATGTAGAAGTTATAAGTTATCAGAGTATCTCTGAGCATATTCGCGGGCTGATCGCAGTCTCCGTTTCGTTTTCCATTTTCTTTTCCATTTGATTCTCCAGTATCTAGTAGTTTCCATTTTCTTTTACATTTGGTTCTCCATTATACAGTAATTTCCATATTCTTGTCCATTACCCCAAAGTCCCCTAAACCCCAAACCCCAAACCCTAAACCCCAAACCCTAAACCCTAAACCCCAAACCCTACACCCCAAACCCTAAATCCTAACCCCCAAACCCTGAATCCTAAACCCCAAACCCTAAACCCCAAACCTTTAGAAAATCAACAGAGTCAAGGTTTGGCCCTCTTGCCTCCCTCACCTTCTTGCTGGAGCCCTTGTCGCGTCCGACCCGGAAGCTCGCGGCTGCTGAAGGGGGAGTGAGGGAGTGCATGCAGTTCGGTAGTATTCTGGGGGTGTATATCTATATGTACATAGGGTTTAGGGTTTAGGGCTTGGGGTTTATAGTATTCTGGGGGTGTATATTTGGTGGTTTCCCAAAATTAGGGGTAAGAATAAGAATTACAGTATTTTGGGGTCTGTATTGCGGTCCCCCTATTTAGGGAAACTACCATTTCTATGTACATATTTTCATAGGGTGCAATATATGGGGAACTTTCTAGGGATTCACTCCGTCATTTCCCGTTGATCAGCAGAAAGGAAATACCTGCACATCCTTGGCCATCTCGGCGCCGTGCTGCTGGCGCTAGTGGGCCTAGTCACAGAGACTGGTGCAGCTTTAAGTCAGGTTACCAACATAGGAGGATCAAATGGAACATGTAACGGAAGCTTGGGTTTAGGGTTCAACATTGTGCTTGTTTCTTTCTGGCATCTGCTTGCAAGAAGCCATTCCTGTTTCTCTCCTCAGGAGTGGATTCTGCATGCTGAGTATGGGGGCCACCACCTGCACAGCTCTCATAGCTGGATTCTGAGCTTCTTTTGGAAGATGATGTGCGTTTAATGGTCTGTTTGTTCCTTTTCGGCTCCCCAAAAGCCCTTTGCCCTAGCCCTCAACACAAACCGCCCGTACTTCCTTAAGCGGGTTGCTGTCAAGTAACTTAAAGTAAGTTACCGTAATGGGTATATATATATATATGTGTAGTAATTAATATGGCTTCCCCAGTAGTAACTTAAATTCAGTTCCTTAAACCCTATATTCCCCCAGTTTCCATTTCATTCTCCATTTTCTTTACCATTTGATTCACCATTATAGGGGGATAATAACAACTTTAGTAACTTAAATTAAGTTCCTNNTTAACAGCAACCCAGTTTAAGGATTGGTCTCTTCACTGTGCTTCTGTACTGCTTACAGTGGCTTGCCGGCGGCTCTATCTACACCCTTTGGGCACCGGTAGCACTGCGGAAGAGGTTGCCAGTCAACTAAAAAGGACAAGTCCCTTTAACAAGGGGGCTACTAGAGGGGTCCTGTCAAGGCTTAGACAGATGTATAGGGTTTGTGTTTTACAGGGTTGAGGCTTTATTAGTAGATTTTTTTTTTTTTTGGGGGGGGG